TATTTTATACTGGTTTGCAGAATTTGTCATTTTAATAATTTGAAAGTTTAATTCCTTAGTTCTCTTTAATTTTCTGCAAGTTTTATGACATGGTGGATTTGAATCAAGATCAGTCAAATTTGATCACAAAAGTGTTCATCTGAAGCGACCACTAGTTTTTCTGGTTGATTGATGATTGTTTGCATAAAAAAGTGGCAGCAAATAAGATCTATTGACCTTAGTATTCTATACAACAGAGAGCAGTATTGTTTGTGAACTAAGTTGTTGGTTTTTAGTTCTGATCATAAATTTTCAGCAATGAAAACTTTGTGATTTATATTTTTGGTTGATCCAATATGTTGTTTAGAATACATGATGATCGATTATGATGAAAATTACAATGCTGCAAATAAGAAAAACAATTAGATCATGAGGCATGTATTGCTGTTTTCTGTGCTCAGCAAGATCACAGAAATATGATTAACTCCTTGATAATTTATTGACTGTTTTGACACTCCTTGATCATTTGGGTTCTCTGCCCTATAAAATTTATTTATTATTAATTTTAATTTTTAATTTTGTTGTTTCTTTTTAATTTTTAAAAACTTCAAAAAATATTTTTTATTTTTTAAAATACCCGAATTCTTCCCCTGAATCAACCTAAGCACCGAATTGCTTAATTTTCAGACAAAACCGAAGCAGACTCCGAAGCGAATCTGACAACATTGTTCTGGATTAAGTAAATCAGTGTGACTAAATATATATCTTGGAGATTGCCATAGAGATGTAATGATCTTTCCAATTAAAAAATAAAAATAAAAGAAACTTTGCTGTAAGCAACAATTTATAACAAATCTATTCGTTGGAAATAACATGAGGTTGGCTTCTTGATATGAAAAAGGAAGGTATGCTCAGCATCCATAAATTTCTACTTGGCCCAAAAGTGACATCTCCTCAGATTTAGAGCAGCTTTTAAATGTTTCACTCGCATCTCACTGGTTCAATCAATCAGCATAATGTAGATGTGGCTAGGCGAGGGAAAGTCCCTTTTGGTACATTTCTACCTCTCTGCTAGGAAGATTCGGCTATAGGCTAAATGCAAACCGATTTGCATTAGCACAAATGTAGCATGGCCATATGAAGTATGAGTATGCCAGTCATATTATCTGGTTTTCTACGTTTCAGTATGAGGTCATCCTAAAAGCTTAAACAACAGTGGAATCTAGAACATGATAATTGATCTTAGTATGACGAATCCAGTGTCTCATTGCTGCATTATTTAGTAGCTAATGCTTGGCATTTGTTTCCATTGCTCATTTTAGTTGTAATGTTATCTTCTTTTTATTTTGCATTTCAACTGTCACATTTGCAACTTTTGAAATAATATATGCAATCTTGTCTTTTATTAGGTTGTTTTGGTTGTGGGTCACAATAGATTTCTCTGTTTTGTTTAGCTTAGAAGTTTACACAATCTGTCTGGTTTACAGGTTATCTTCTTCCTGTAGACTTTTAATGAAGTTTTCCAAACTGTGGCCATTAATTTGCAATCTTGCGAGATACAGAAATTATGCAACATGTGATTTCTAAGATGAAATCTGATGGATAAAGATACTCAAACCTGACTATATCATCTGTTTTTTTTTGTTGCCTACGGAACAGAGAAAGAACTGCATCAGCTCCAAGACATGCTCGTAAATCTCAGATCGAAAGCCAATCAGATGGCTTCTACCCTGAACATGTCAAACTTTGCTAACAGGTTAGAATCATGGAATTATGTGGAAGCCGACACGCCACCATAAATTATTATCATAATGTCGTTGATGTTGTTGTTAGTATTAGCATTATGATTTTTATTATTTTCATCATTAAATATTTTCTGACTTAACCTGCTAGCATACTTCATCATCTCTAGTTAATTTTGGTCTTTGTAAGCGAGTTCTGAAATACATGGGGAAATAAGAATTTTCTTATGGTTGTGATTTCAGGAACAACTTGCTTGGTCAAGATAGTAAACCTGTTTCTGAGATAAACCGAACCACTGGCTTGGACAATTATGGCCTTGTTGGCCTACAAAGGCAGATTATGAGAGGCAGGTATATTATCTAGTTTGCTGCTGTTTACTACCTGAGAGGCATGTCTATTATCTGATTCCCTGCGGGTTTTGATAGCCATATTCTTTGTCTATTTTACTGCAGTTAGATTTATGCCTTAATTACCATGTTAGAAATTTTAACCTTACCTTCACTTCTTTGGTTTTCTGCTTGCACATCTCTAATACAGAATAAGATGAAGGCCTCGAAAAATTGGAGGAGACTGTAATCAGCACAAAACATATTGCATTGGCAGTCAATGAGGAATTAACCCTACACACAAGGCTCATTGTAAGATACAACCGCGCCCCACCTCACTCCCCTAGGGAGTTCCTATAAAGATTGTAATATTCAGTTTTGTCAAAGATCTTTCTCTCTCTCTCTC